GTTATTATTACAATCTAGTTTGAAAGGTCTTTTTTCTCTGTACATCAATATTTTGTTTTATGAATTAGCTAATGTTGAACTTTCATTATTTGTACAAGGCTTTGTATTTGACATACTTGATATTTGATGTGTGACAGAGACAATACAGAGTTTGGTTCGACGTCTTGGTTACACTGTTGCAGGATATTCATTTGTAAGTCCATTCCTTCTACCAAGGTCAAATTGCAATAGCAATTGTTGGTTATAAGTTAATATATATACATCTTAGTTTTAAATAGCTTGTTGTTGGGTTATTAGTTAGTATCTATATATCTAAATTTTATATTGCTAGGAGATTGTAACTCTTAGAGGTTATCTTTAGTGAACAATCTTTGGCAGGAGGATCTAAAGCAAAGTAAAAAGCGAAGTAAAGAGGATGGGGAGAAATACTATAATCAATTATCAGATGAAGAAAGGGCGAAATTTGATGAAGAGATATTACTTAATCTGAACAATACAGAAAAGAGAAGTACAAAAATCCAGAGTGATATGTTTAGCAATGAATACTGAATGGTATGGTTTGATTATTAAAAAGCTAATCTTAAATGTGCTTCAGTTTCTTTGAATTCAGCATGCAAAACAGTTATTGTGATGAGCATTGCAGAAAAAAAAGTGTTCTCTACTTCAATTTCAGCAGTTAGAAAAATCATAATTTTGCATAATATCAGCAATATAGGTATAACCAATGAATAGTCTATTGCAGTTTGATGTAAAGGAGATTAACGAGGGAAGGAAAATATTTGAAGAAGAGAGACTTTCTCAATGGGTTTGGCAACGAATACATAGTGGTATGGTATGATCTCTTTGTGCACATACTATTCCTGATTAAAATTTTGTTTGTGTACCAGCAAAAACTTTCATTTCACTCCTAATTTAAGAAGTATTATAAAATTTCAAGTGCTGTAGTCCCACAATATTTTCATGCTTCCTTGCTCATATTTGTATCATCTAACTAGGGTTCGCATAAGTGAAGATTTCAAATTGGATGCATCAACTCAATTTTATTTTGAAAATATTACTAGATGTAACTCATTTCCAAATGTATTTTGATAGGCCATTAACACACCTATATTGGTATGTAGGAGAAGAGGAAAATATGATTTGCCCAATAATAACAAAGGCTTTGCTCCTGATTTCTCAATTAACAGTGCTCAGTATATTTTAGAATCTATCACTATTCAACATTTATTCTTTGTTTAGTTGCAGACAACAAATGAGAGGAGAAAAAAGAAAAGAAAGAGTATAAAAAAATATATATCTGAATTTTTCTTTTTTACAAATAGTAAAAAATGTTTAAATGAGTTTCATTCATTTTATTTCTCGTCTAAAATCTATGTTCTATCATATAGGCTCGTTATTCACTAACATGTCCACATATCAAAGATGCAAGATCCTTACCTGCTTTATACTTTCATTGTATCAAGATATCATCTTAGGAAAGATTAACTAGAGAGGCATGTGGTCCAACTCAATTGCTTCATCCTTATTAGGCACTCATTTATTTCATTTTTATCTTTGGATTGAAAATTTTGAATCCATAACTCGTATCTTCTAAAATCCCTTTTTCTTGTCAAAGTTGAACAATGCAAAAAGAAAAGTTTTTGCATTGTTTGTTCTTATACTTGAGATGTACTTATACCAGATAACAATCTTGGTTGCTGCTAAAGGAGCACATAAGCTTCCTAACATAAATGGGGCTGAAGATTTGAAGATAGCCTTACAAAAGCTCAGGAGCCTTCTCTCAAGCAAATTATTAGTAAGAGATCAGTCATTAAGTTAGTATATTTTTATATAATCAGTGTTATTTCTTCATTAATAATAACCAGAAGCTTGAATTTCCTAAAGGCTGGTGAGGTGTTGTGGACCCCACAAAAGGAGGATGACACCCTTTCAAAACAAAAACTACTTGAAGACTACCCTCAATTAGCAAAAGACATGAGAAGCTTTCTAGTTAAGAAACACGAATGAAACAAAAAGGGCAATGTGAGCTTGGTTCCGTTTGGTGTGTCAAATTATTCCCTAACTTCGATTTTTTCAGGTTTTAAAAATTAAAAAATCTTTATACAATAAATATAATTTGAATATTTTCTTAGGTTTTATATGTTAATCTTTTTTGTTTGTTACATTTAATTGTATTGCAAATCGTTAAAGAAATTTAACCTATATTATTATTTTTATATGAATTTAATTAATAACAATGTAAAATCATTTTAATACTACCATTCAATCATTTATTACTATTAGTAGTAAGATTGCATATTCTTATTTTAATTGCTTAAAAAAGTTATATGTAGATAATTTCTATTTGTTGATAGTGGAATATCAAAAATAAACATTTTATATAATTAAAGTCTTATTTATTTATGCATCATTTGTATTTCAAAAAAAAAAAATCATGGAAAATCGCATAACCTGAAAACAATTCTTACAAATAAACATAGATTAGAAAACGAACGACATTTGTTTCCTAAATGAAGTTCTACAACGCAACATTCTCGTAAAATAGAAAAACAACGGATGCGCCAAAGGTAAATAACTATAACAAACAAGGTTGAAAAGTCAAAAGTAGTTATGAAAGATTTTACTTAAAAAGATAATTTTAAAAGATAGTTTAATTACTAACTAACTTGTCCTAAGAAATTGGAACTCATTCACATTGAACACACATGCACTATCTTTGATTTTTATTAATAAGATTAACTATTAACTAGTAATTTGTTATCTTATTTTCTCTTCACACTCAATATCTTTTCAAGTTTTCAATCCCTCTTTGGCATGACCCATCTTTGTATTGTCACCGTCATGGTTCTCCTCATGGTGACTACTGCAAAGGCACGTCCTTGTAGGGCATTTATAATTACCTCTTACTCCATCGACGACACTTCCTCAAATACCATCATCAGCATCACTAAGATCCAGTCCTTCATCCCTCTTAATATCATCGAAAACCCCCCCTCCGACCTCTTCTACCTTTCAGAACTCGAGCGTATCATCCCATGTGTCCCCCTAGGATTATACTCTGTTTACCACTACTCTTCCCTTTATGATCGTGCCAAGGACGTCGGTAACGTTGCCCTAGCTCTCTTCCTCGCCGTTGTTTGTGGCGTCATAAACACCTTAAACATGTATTTTATTAATTTGTCTTGTTACAATCTCCAAGTAGAGGAGAGAAATTATTATCATCGAAGTATGGAGCGTCTGTGGAACGAATTGAAAAGCAGAAGTCATGGTTGATGTCACAGTGTTCTTGATATCATATTAGAGTTCTGTCATGGAGGAGAGAAAAACAGAGAAAGTGTTTATCTGAATTGATGCAGCACATAACAGAGTACAATAACTGAATAAGTGTCTTAATATAGATATTATTACAACCCTTGAAAATAAGGATTTATGACTATTTATTATTTCCCTTTAAGGCCTGCTTTTTTTCATATATGACTAATCTTGTAAGTGACATTATAATTATTGTCGGCTCAAGTTTCTATCTATAATAATGGAATTTGTTTTTAGTAACTCATAAATTTGAGATTTCTTTAAAAATAAAAACTAAAAATGATTACACAATAGTATATACCTTTATTATATATTAGTGAGATTCAAGGGTTCGTGTCTTTATATATTCTATTTAAATAAAAAGTGGTGTAACTCACTTATTAAATTAACTTATCTATTGTGATAATTTATTTATTTTATTAAATTTAGTATTTATAATTAATTTTATTATTATCCATTGAAGTGTATAGAAATTTGTGTGTTTTATTTATAATTAAAACATTTGTAATTAAATATTAAATTTATATATATATATATATATATTAGTAATATAATAATCATGTTTATACTTTGAGGTTTCATTTGCCAGTATATCAATAATAATTACACTTTTTACTCATTTCGTTATAACATCAGTATTTTTTTTGACTAAAAATCTATTTTGGTCCCTTATAATAATTATTTGTTTTAATTTAGTCTCACTTTTATTTTTGATCTCAATTTGGTCTTTAATAAATTAATTGGTTGCAATGTAGGACTTCTATCTAAATTATTTAAACGGAATTAACTGTTGGCCACGTGGATGCATAAAGAGATACATAGATGAATGCCAAATTCCTTGAAAACACCTGTAACCAGAATGCCCCCATTTTGGTCGTTATAGGTGCACACTTGGTGTGTTAATTTTGCATCTGAAACGGGCCGTTCCTTATAATTTTTTTATGATAAAATTTTAAAATTACTTATATTTATAAAATACAATTATATTATAAATAGAGAGATAATTTTTCCTTTTTTTTATGCATCCACATAGCCAACAGTTAATTCTGTTTAAATAATTTAGACAAAAATCCTACATTGCTATCAATTAATTTATTAAAGACTAAATTGAGATAAAAAATAAAAGTGAAACTAAAATAAAATAAATAATTATTATAAAAGACTAAAATAAGTTTTTAGTTTTTTTTTTTTATATAAATAAAGCATATGTGAATTTATAGTAACATATTAATATACACATAATATCTGTCTATGCTCCTTTTCACTGCACAACTTCCTCTGCTCCCTTCGTAATTCGTTTGTCTCAAGGCACCGCCTTCCATCTTCTCTAAACACCAGAAATCACTATGGAGAAAGAACCACAGTCTCCACCATTTCATTACTTAGGGTGTCTATGGAGCAAAGTATTGTTTTTAAAACTTGACGTTATATCTATCTATGCCCATTTTCACTGGAAACCACCAACAGGAGAAAAACCACCATCTTCTCCTTACCTCAACCATCGTAGCGAGTTTGGAATCCAGTCTATTCCAGTCCACTCCACTCCTTGGCAACACCACGAACACTCACATCTTCATCCTCCGACCACCACTCCTCTCAAGACCTCGCCGTCCTTCTCGAAGTCGACAGGTCAGTCATTTCATTTTCCACTCTCACTGCGTTTGTTGACTTCTCGAAGTCGAAGTCGTAATGAACCTGTCTATTCCGATCTTTCCAAGTGTGTTTGTTTTTTTTTGTTTAGTTAGAGTCTTCTCTTGCTTATCTGTGTATGTGTGGTTGAATTGACTTTGCTGCACTTGGCTTTGGTTTCGAGTTAATTGTTGCATTGAATTTTGTAGTGTCTTCACTATTGAGTGTTGCAAGTTATTGTCAGTGCATGATTACGTTGCTTATAAACCTTTTTTATAATGACGTTGTAGGAGAAGTGCTGGAGATGAGGAAAAAATGGTATTTCTGTATTTTAATCCGGTAAGTTGTTAGTCTTTTGTCTGTGCTTGGAATTAAAAACAAAAAAAAGAAAAGGAAAAATAAATAGGCAAGGTT